GGGGGGATGGGGGGATGGGAGGTATCTCAGGGTGGGAAACTGTCCTCGTGGGGCAGGGAAGGACTGGAAAGAGAAGAAAATCCCCCATCACACCTAGATGCATACACTCCCCTTCCAAAAGCTTAGGAGACAAGGTCAGACCAGGGTAAATAATCAAGGGCCACAATTTTTGGAAAAGGGAAAAAGGATTATCACCGTACTAGGCATCACAATGCTAACCTCACCGTCCGTGTCAAGTTTTTCAGGTTGTTATGACTTTGGGGCAACTCCACCATCACCTACAATCTCTCCCCTTCCCCCACCCCTACTAAGCCAACCCTTTTTTTTCTCTTTGATTTAGCATGGATTTAAAGGGGCCTGGCTGACATATGGCAGGCCACGATATGGCCAGGCGTGCCCACAGCCGTGGCCCACGGGCTGTAGATGGTAGGGAGGGCAGCGAGACGAGCTATAGCTTCACTTCTCCTGCTGCCACGTGCACACGAATCCCCTGTGCAGCCGGTGAAAACGCAGACCCAGACCTGGGGCCTGCGGGAGCGGGGGTCTGAAATTCTGCTTTTCTTTTTTTTTTTTTTTAAGATTTTATTTATTTATTTGACAGAGAGAGACACAGTGAGAGAGGGAACACAAGCAGGGGGAGTGGGAGAAGGAGAAGCAGGCTTCCCGCCGAGCAGGGAGCCCAATGTGGGGCTCGATCCCAGGAACCTGGGATCATGACCTGAGCTGAAGGCAGATGCTGAATGACCGAAATTCTGCTTTTCTAACAAGCACGCAGGTGATAACCACGATGCTGGGCCAGCGACCACAGTCTGAGTAGCACGTGGGCTCTGGACTCAGAGGGACCCCGACTGGGATCACCACCGCTATCTCTTACAGCTGCAGGGTGACCTGGGCAAGCGGGTCCCTTCCTGTACCTTTACAGGTTCCTCACTTCTAAAATCAGGATAAATACCTGCCTCACACAACGGTCATGTGGATTGCAAATAAGCACGGAGAGTGCCTAGACTGTAACAATTCTCAATACGTGGCCATTATTATATTGACTATTGTGTTATTAATGAGCCAGCGGAGACTTGCCTTCCCCCGTGGCTCCGACACCTGTAACCTTACAAATACCCACAGTGCTCGGGCTGAGCAGCCAGAGCACCTGGTCTGCGTTGCTTTATTGCCTGAATAAAGTTTAGCACCTTTTTCTGATAATAAAGGCACTGCATGCTCCCTGCAGAATATTTGGAAAATACAAGGAGAAAGAAAGAAGAAATGAAAACCCCTCAGTCCCGCAACCTGAGGGAATGCACCACCGTTAGCACTTGGGCTTATTTCCTTTGAGTCCCGCTCAGTAGGGCTGTGAAGGTGTGGATACAGAGGTAGCTAAGAGCACATTGCCGATGACTTGTTTCCTGCCTTTTTCACATATTAGTATGTCCTGAGTATCTCCCCATTTCAGGGAACAGGATTTTAAAGCATCCTGTGGAGTGACGGCATGGCATTTCGAAGCCGGAATGCTGGCTTCTTTGCCAGGGGACGAGGGTGACGAAGCTTGTAAGGAGCCCTTTGTGTTTTCTCCCTCTCTCTACCCCGCTTATGTCCAGTGTCTAGGCCAGGCGAGTGGCCCAGCAGCGAAGGCAGCAGGCAGAGGTGGCACGAGGCCCCACCTGGGTAAGTCCAAGGCAGCACAAGGCTCTTCCCAGGTGAGCTAAACAATAAAATAATTTTGTTGACCTCACCTTTGCTAAAAGTTTTCTTATACTGCATGCAAATAATGCATTCAAATTTGCACTAAACATACTCTTTTTTACGGGCTTAGCTGTCTCCTGTGGCCTTCCTCATTTACTCCTAAAGGACTACACCCTTGGGACCTCACTTTGCTCTGGAGCCCACTGCCAGTTGCTTGGATGGGATTACCTTGCCGGTCTATCGGCCCGTGGACACGCTGGACAAGGAGGGTGGTTGTAGCCCGGGGTATCCGTGCAGCCCATATCATGGCTGTATGGGATTCCAAAGTAGTAATCAAAACCTGGAAGGGAAGCAACCGGTGAGCACCCCCCACTTGGCTTCTCTTCTATGAGCCTGCATTCTTACACCCAGGACAAAAATTTAATTTTCCATGATTTAATACTGCAGTGCTATGGAGTATGTAATTAAAAGAGGATTTGATTAATATCCCTTTGTAGTATGCAAAGAAAACACTTTGCTGGGTTCTGGCTGTAAGACTAGATTTGCAAAACGTCTTGGGATTAGAGTTAACCCAGAGTGGGAGGAAATGGAGAGAAGTATCGCACACCTACCATCCCCAGGGCACTTATGAACACATTCAGTAAGTAGGTGGTGAAAATCAAGTACATGCATGGCACTGTAAGGAATAAAATAGATTGCCCTCAAGGGCCTGAAGGGGAAGTAAGATATATAGATTAAACTATAAGAGGTCTAGATGAGGGTAATGGAGTACCAGGACAGTGCACCACAGAAAGGGTACAAGAAGCAGGAGGGGATACGAATGAACTCGGAGATAGGAATCAAGAAACCTCAGAGTGCCCAAGCCAGCAGGCTTTTTGAGACCATCTGGTCCAGGGACACAAATGTATGGCAGGTGCTCTCTCTTCTCAGTCCCAATGGCAGACACCACAAATCAAAAATGGCACCACTTCCTGCTGAGCAGGATCCAGTGTCAGGATCCATCCCCCACACCAGCACAGGACTCCAGAAATACGCACTCAAGGTGTCAACACCCCAATCTAGTTCAACCTCCTCATTTGTCAAGAGAAAACACCACCCGGTGGGAAAAGTATGTTCTGTGGTCATTTTTAGTGGAATAGCCAGGTCTTCACTTCCTTCACCTGCCACTCTTCACAAAGCACATGTGCAAGATGCCAGGGAAGCCCAACTGAGAAACAGGGCACAAGGGAAGAGAGGGGGAGGAAGGAGCACCAGAGAGGAGGAAGGAGTAGGACAGGGTGTTGGCCGATAGGAGCCTGAGGCTGAAGGCTGGCTGCAGGCTGATTCTCTAGAAACCGTTCCCCAAATGCAAATATCTTCAGCCGCTTATATTCCCCCATGTCTAGGAGAGAGCACTGCGGCCTCTTTCCATGGAGCTAGAGGGAGATAATGGGGCAGAGTGGGGAGGCGGAGAAGTCTACAGAATAGTCAGAGAACCACCTTTAAGGAAAAGGCCACCCGTTTGCTTGTAAGATAGCAGAAGCAGCTGGGATGCAAGCGCCAGGGAGGGACTGGGGAGAAGCCTGAGCAGCTGAGATAATGATAAATCACTTTCAAGAGAAAGTCTGTGGGTTCCCATCTGAAATGGAAGAGGCAGGTCGGTGGATAGCGGAAGCAAAAACCACAACTTTGGAAAGCCATCAATAATTCGGTGAATTGGACATTCAGAGAACGTACCAATCAGCAAACTGATTTTCAGATAATTGGCTCAGGCAGCTTGATCTTGGCCTATTCCCCAAGGTCAGAGAGTCAAAAGTCTGAGGCAGTGAACAGCTGCAGGAAGAAGGCAAGAGGGAGCATCTCCTGTTTGGGTTTATGGCCTCCTTCCATGAACCCACTGGACAATTTTTACTTCTTACCACACTGGACATGTCTGGACCTCCCAGGGGCCGAATGTTTCCTGAGATGTGGACACCGATGGGCTCATGATGAGAAAGCCAAAAGGGCTAACAGGCACCAAGGCGGGCGGGGGGGTGGGGGCAGGAAAGACGCCAGGAGAGAAGAATGTGAGACCCACGGGAGCCCTAGGTCCCCCAAATACACCTAAGTGACCCTGTGAATGAAGATGTCCTAATTCAGGAGGGGTGTCCCCCAGAAGCAGGATGGCTTGAGCACTAGTGGAATCCTTTTACACCAAGATCTTTACTTTCTGTTTCCCAGGTAATAAGTTCCCCAAAGAATTCTTACCACGGAAGTTGGGGTGATAAGAGCCATGGTGTCCGAGATGCCATTTGCCTGTAGGAAAGCAAGAGAGAGACTGTCAGAGGAATCCCCGCGGGGTCTCCCAGTGCCTCTGGGGAGCTGAGCACATACGCAGTCCTCCACCCTTGTTGCCCTCTACAGAGGACAAGCAAAGAGAGGCTGCAAATGCTGTGTGAAAGTCAAGCCTCGCTCTCTGGGACTGAGAGGGAGTCCACGGGGACACAGAAAGCAAGCAAAGATGACTCAGGACCTACGCAGGAAAGCACACAGAGAAAAGGAAGGCAAGCCTTTACTGGGGGCCCAGAGATGCCAGCAGGCTGAGCTTCTGCCCCTCAAAGAGGGTTCAGTGCCCACAGCAACCCTGCGCTGCCCACTGCACCTGCGCCACCCTCCCGAGCCCTGCAGGGGCCCGTAGGACCAGCAAGGGCCCCAGATAGCCTTGGTTCCCTCCTGGTTTCATCATCTTCCTCCCTGGCCACGCTCAGCAGCCCACGGAGGCTGGATGCAAGACCACCTCCCCCTTCCCGGGGCTGTTCCGGTGCAGAGACGCTCGCCTGGACGTGCACGGCTGCTTCTCGCTCTGCACATATGTTTGGTGGGGGAGAATGACTGGGCGATGTGTGGCGGAAGCTCTGACCGTGTTTGAACTCTCAGACCTGCTAATTCCGCTCTGAGGAGTAAAGACCCCAGGGAAACCACCCACGAGGCAAGGGGCAGAGAAAAGAATGTGGTCCAAAGATCTAAACAGTACCAGCACTGAAGAGCACGTAAGGGAAAGAAATAAACGGGCAACTGTGGGAGGATGGCTAAGTAAATTATTTACATGGCCCTGACAAACTACTACCAAACTATCTTTTAGAGACAAACGCATGTAGGAAAAGGTAATAATCAGGGAATCCAGGGAAAGGGCAGATGAGCGTCTATTACTCCCCTTTTGCAACTGCTCTGTAGCTTTGCGAAAAAATGTAATATAAAGCAGAGGGAAATGGATTAGGCACTATGTGGAATGCTTGGATTAAGCATTACATGGAAATCCAAAATTGTATTAAAGTGTTTAAGTTATTTCTAAAATTATTAAAAGTATTGCAAATATGTAAAATGTATTACATAGAAATATAAAATAATAGGAAAGGGGTTCAAAGGAGGACCAGGTGGTATGTACCATGGTGAAAAAACCCATGACGGTAGACCAATGTTAGAAGTGAAGTGTGGGTGGGGCAAAGGGGCTTGATATTCCTTGGTGGGGTTTTTATTTTTCCCGTAAGCATGCTTATAGGAAGTTCGTGATGTCAACACATGGATGTGGTTGAACATCCTCTAACATGCAATGAACAGTGAGGGGAAAGGGGGGCAGCTGAACAGTTAATATATAATCAGTGGCTCACTGGGAGTTCAAAGGCATGAAGAGGGAAGGGCAAGTGAGATCCAGCTCAGCTCAGGAAGAACCCAGCCCCCTGTTGCCTCATGAAACTTTAGAGTCAGAGAGCCCTAGGGGCCAAACCCTTCCCAGCTGTGAGCATGACTCGGATGCAAGTGATGGGGCCACTAAGCGTACGCAGCCCACCGTGGGGGCTTCACAGTGAATATACCTTGGGGTACGGGCAGAAAGGGAATGAAAAGACAGGATCCTAATCTGGACCTCCTCCCACTGGGGCTTGCCCTCCTGGGACAATGAATGCCACGCTCCAGATTGACCGGCTGTAAAAGCATGTGGGGCTCCTTGACCCAGAGGAGGAGGCGGGGCCAACACCCGAAACTGGAGCCTCCAGGCATCAATAACACCCTCCCTCGCCACTTCACGGATCGTGGTGGAGGGAGGCAGGAGTCCCACTGGACCCAGCTCTTGGGAAGTCAGAATAACAAGCACTGTTGGCACTGCGCGTTGCCTTGGCCTCTGCCGGGAGGACCAGCAGTGAAGCAAAGCGTCGGAGCGAGGCTGGGCAGTCACACCGGTCTGGATGCACCCGCTCCGGGGTGGGCAGCACTGAACCTGTCCCCTCACCTGGCGGGAACTCGGTTTCCTCACACACATAATGGGGGAAATCATCCCCTCAGAAGGCACCTCCGGACCCCGATGCAAATAAACACTTAGCCCAGGGCCAGGCAGGTAGGAAATACTGAGTAAGAGGTGCCTACGGAAATAAAAGGAAAAGAAGCTGCGTGCCTACCCTGCGCCCCTGCCCGCACTTACCCGGCCAACAGAACCCTGGTTTTGTTCCGGGATCAGAGACCAGGGCCCCAATCCGAGTCCTGAGCCCAGTCTCCCAGCCTTCCTTGCGGCGGGGCGTGGCCACGCAAATCCACCAATAAGAGGTAAGTGCATTTCCGCGCCGAGGGGTGGGCGTGTCCGAGAGAAGATTTGTTTTCCCGATCGATGCGAACAAATGAGGCCCGCACCCCCTCTCCTGTTTTTCCTCCCTTGAAGCCGAATTATGGTGAATGGGACTGAAGCCGCTCTCTTGCAACCAAGAAGCAACGAGCATGAGGACAAAAGCTAAGGACCGTAGTAGGACAGCGGAGCAGAAAAATAGAAACGGTTTCCGGGAGCCGCCGAGCCAATGAAAGCAATCACTCACCTCTCAGCTTATTACAACGGGAGGAAAATAGCTCCATATATGGTTTAGTTCCCTGTTAGGTCTTTTCAGTGACTTAGAGCTCAAAGCTTTGCGACCTTATACAGCAAGAAATAAACAAAAAGCAGACGGGAGCAGAAGAGGTGGCAGCATGCTGGGGCTACGCAAACACAAGGCAGGCACCGCCGGAAGTGCTGTGGGAGATGGGGGTCCCCGGCTGCGGGGCTCCAGTGTTACCTATCATCCCAGTGACGTAGCCAGCTTGCTGCAGCACCTCCGCCAAGGTGGTCTCGTTGAGCGGCAGACCCCCCACAGAGGTGACCGCAAAGTTGTGCGTGACTCCGTTGCGAAGGCCAAGCCGGCCCGTGAGCAGGGAGGCCCGAGAGGGCGAGCAGGTGGAGGAAGCTGCGTGGAAATCCACAAACCTGCACAGAAAGAAAAGGGATTGGGCTCCTTCCATCCACAGACAGCCAAACCAAGAGAAGTTCAATTCCTACCCAGTTCCCAGGATGCCAGTGCTGGAAAAAGCTCAAAGACCACCCCTTGAAGGGACAGGTTAGGAAAATGAAGCTCAGAGAGGTAATGCAACTAATTCAGGGTCACACAGCTCATTCAGATTGGTTTGATCTGGTATATTTAGTGGATCCTCTTCATCCAAAGATTCCATATCTCGAATTCATCCACTCACTGAAACCCAACTGTATCTCCAAAATCAATACTCGTGGCTTTGAAGCGGTCACTCATGGACATTCCAAGATGTTCTAAAACTTTGTGTTTCCCCATATGCACAACCCTAGCTGAGGTTGACAAAGGTGACCTTCTTGTTTTGGCTCTCATACAGCAAGCAAATGTTTTCCTTTCTGCAGTCTACTGAATGCTATAGTTTTTACATTTTTGTGCTTTCTGTTGGTGATTTTGATGTTTAAAATGGCCCGCACACATAGGGCTGAGGGCTGGCTACTTCAGCCTAGTAGAGATGTGATGTGCCTTATGGAGAAAATACAAGTGCTAGATAAGCTTCATTCAGGAATGAGTTACAGGGCTGTTGGCCATGAGCTCAATGTTAATAAATCAAAAACTATATTAAATAAGATGTTTTTAAACAGAAACACACATAAAACAAGGTTCTGTGCTGATCTGTTGACAAAAACATAACCAGAGGCTTGCAGGAACTGAACTCTGTCGATCCCCTAGGAACAAGGTTCAGTATTCTGTAATTCAGTGTTCTCCATGACTTTACAGAGTAACTCCTGCCAGTAACAAGAACCGGCTATAACTATTACACATGACGGGATGCTCAATCTTTTTTTGGACACTGTGGAGAACTATAAAAGAAGTCTAGCCATTTTCCTACCATCAGGAATGTGATTAAACTTCATGTCACTAATATAAATGGGGCAACTGACCTTGTGTGTCTCCTGATAGGATGATACGAAGTTGATCTCATCGAGGATTCTTGTCAAGAACATTTAACCTGAATCTAATCAGACCTCTGGACCTAATTTCCAGGTTATAGGAAATGTAGCTAATAGAAGAACAAATTAAATGACACCACAAGGAAATAATCTAACAAACCATTCTACACATCCCGCGACAACTGGTGTAGTTCTTCAAAAAGTCAATATCCGAGGGAAAAATGGGATAGAGGGGGGATATTCTATACTAAAGGACACTAAAGAGACAAACCAAATGTAATACATGATCCTTGACTGAATCCCAGTTCAAGCATGCTAACAGCACAATTGGGGGCTAATTAGGGAAATTTAATATGGACTGGATATAAGATGACATTGGGTGATCATTGTCCATTTTCTTGATTATGGCCATGTAGAAGAATGTTTTTGTTCTTTTCTTTTTCTTCCACTTGTATTGGCATATACACTGTATTCACTGAAGGTATACAACATAATGATTTGATACATGTATATATTGGGAAATGATCACCACAATAAGTTTGATGAATTACTATCACTTCCCATAACTATGATTTTTCTTTCTTGTGATGAGGATTTTAAGATCTCCTCTCTTAGCAACTTCCAAACATACAATACAGTATGGTTAACTAGTCACCATGCTGTGTATCACATGCATAGAGCCCACTTATCTCATGACAAGGAGTTTGTACCTTTTGACCCCCTTCACTCATTTCCCCACCACACCCCACCCCCACCCCTGGCAACTGCCAATCCATTCTCTGCATCTGTGAGTTTGGTTTTTTTAGATTCCACATTTACATGAGATCATATAATATTTGCCTTTCTCTGTCTGATTCCCTTTACCTAGCATACTGTCCACACCCATGTTGTCACAAATGGCAGGATTTCCTTCTTTTTTACAGATGAATCATCTTCTGTTGTCTATGTATACCACATTTTTATTACATTAGGAATATATTTTTATTACATTAAGGAAGTTATTACATTGAGAATGGTTTTATTCTCAAGAGATACATGCTATGGTGTTTATAATAAAAGAGCATGTCTGCACTCTTCAAATGACTCAGGAAAAACACCTTATTTACAGATAGTACAAATACAAACAAAAATGGCAAAATGTTAACAATGGTGGAGTATACTGATGTTTGACTCTTCTTTTCACTTTCTTTTATGTTTGAGATTTTTTAATATTAAAGGTTAATAATTAATGTTTAATAGTATAAGTTTCAAAAGAATGACAACCCGGAGTCTAGAATGAGCAGGGCAGTGGCAGGGTGGGTGGCCAGCCTGAGTGGGAGGGTAGGGAAGGTAGGGAGGGGCAGCTTAACATACAGCTTGGCGTGTCGGAACCACGCGTGTCCAGGGTGCCTGGAGCCGGGTCCCCCTGCTGAGCCGCCACCCTGGGCAGAGCGAAGCCCAAGGTCCGATGGGGTAAGGGACTGGCCTACAGACACCAGGTCAGCAGAGCCAAGCAGGGCTCGGTGCCTCTCCCCTCCTCTCCCCACCTCTCCCCTCCTCTCCAAATCTGACCCATCCTCACCCAGCAGCCGAAGGTGGGCCTTAAAGTGCCCCCTCTGACCACTGCTTAATGAATGAAATGATTGCCTGCTCCACTCCCCCATGGCCCATCTTTTGGGCCTCTCCTTCCCTCCCCACCGCGGGCACCAGCACACAGTCTTCGTCCGGGTCTGCAAAATGCCCGCTTCTTCCCAAGGTCAGCTTCCCCCTGGCACACTCTCCCAGATCTTCGCATGGCCTTTCCTCCCCCTTCGGTTTTCCTGCAAGGGGGCCTCTGCTGTCCTCTAATCAGGCACCCTGGGGCATACTTGGTAGCATTGACCCAACCCCAATTATCTGGTATGTTTTTATGTCCTTTCATTCTGGGCCATCCTCCCTCCATGCAAGCTCCCTGTGAGGAGGAGGAAGGCTTGGCCTACGTTGCTCATTGCTTGTTGCTCACTGCTCGTTGCTTATCTCCAGCTCCTAAAACAGGACTCTATAAATACAGGGGGAAGGGAGGGGAGAGGATGGGGAGAGGATGGGGAGAGGATGGGGAGAGGATGGGGAGAGGATGGGGAGAGGATGGGGAGAGGATGGGGAGAGGATGGGGAGAGGAGGAGAGGTCTGTCCTTCCCAGCAACTTCATTGAAAATGTAACCAAACCTCAAAATAAGTATTATTGGGAAGTGTGATGAGGGGGCAGGGGGCTCACTGAGCACATTCACCAAAAGTTATAAAGATTACGTGCAGGCACGGAGGTTGCAAGCATAAGCGTCACAATGTGAAGCGTCACAATGTGAAGCATCACGATGTGAAGAGATAGGACATCAGGGGACCCATGGGAAAGCAAGGGGATGAGGTCACAGAGAGCAGTGCCTGTTTAAACACTCCCTTCCCACACACTGTAGAGCCTGGCTCACCACCTGCCCCCTGCATTAGGGCCTCAGGTCTCCGCCATAACCCCACACCTGGACGGTGGTGGCCCCCAAACTGACTGAAAGCAGCTCTAGACCGAGACTGGCCACTTGCCCAGGCGAGCCTGCCCAGGGCCGTGCTTGCTCGGGGAACTTAGGGCAGCCTGGGGACATTTCCTTGTTTTCTGTGCTCTCACAGAGGCCAGCCTGGGGCAAGAAAAGGGGGAAATGCATACAAATCCCTGCTTCTCTGAGCACATATTTCTTGCAGAAGACGTGTTTAAAAGGGACTCCACCTGCAGCCTCTCTCCTGCTGGCTGCCAGGTCCAACTGGACTAAAGAAAGCCCCAGGAGTCTGTAATGTTTCCACACCCCTCCGAGACGCCCTGGGGAGCTCCCCTCAGTCTGCTCACAGTGGACAGGGAGGGCCCTGAACACCCTGCCCTTCACACTGACCTTGGCATTTGCAGGGGTGACGGCCCTGGAGGGCAGTCAGGACTGCAATGCGTGTCAGCAACACAGTGGTTTCCTCCTCTCTTGTTCCTTTCCCTTTCTCTCTCTTTTTTAAAAGATTTTATTTTTTTGCTTGTCAGAGAGAGAAAGCACACAAGCAGGGGGAGTGGGAGAGGGAGAAGCAGACTCCCTGCTCAGCAGGGAGCCCGATTCGGGGCTCGATCCCAGGACCCCGGGATCATGATCTGAGCCGAAGACAGATGTTTAACCAACTGAGCCACCCAGGTGCCCCTTTCTCTCTCAAGCCTAGGGATTATAACGAAAAACTTTTAACATCTTACAAACTAATGACCATGTGACCCAGCAATTCCACCACCAGGACTGGGATCCCCCACAAGAAGTGGAATCAGGTACTCAGACACTCCTGCCACGTTCATAGTCATGGCTGCACTCTGCCCCGTGGCTGAAAGGTGGAGGGGGCACAGTTGGCTATCCGCGGGCCAGTGGACAGACAAAAGGTGGCCCATCCACGCGTTGGGATACTATTCATCCGTGCGCTGGAATGTAATTCATCCATGAAAGGGAACCAAGCAATGACAGTTGCTCCAACATGGATGAACCCTGAAAACATGACATGAGTGGAAGAAGCCCATCACAAAAGGCCATCTATTGTACACTTCCCTTTATATGAAATGCCCCAAGTCAGTAAATCCACAGGGATGGAAAACAGAGGCTGGAGGGAGGAGGGGCACAGAGAGAATATGCTTCGTGGGTAGGGGGTTTCCTTTTAGGATGAGGAAAATATTTTGAAACTGGATAAGGATAGTAGTTGTAAATATCACTGAGTTGTTCACTTTAAAATGGTTAATTGGGGGGCACCTGGGTGGCTCAGTCGGTTGAGCGTTCGCCTTCGGCTCAGGTCATGATCTCAGGGTCCTGGGGTCAAGCCCTGCATCAAAGGATCAGGCTCCCTGCTCAGCAGGGAGTCTGCTTCTCTCTCTTCCCCTCCCCCCTGCTCATGCGCGCTCTCTCTCTCTCTCTCTCTCTCTCTCCCCCTCTCTCTGTCTCTCAAATAAATAAAATCTTTTAAAAAAATAAAATGGTTAATTTTATGTCATGAGA